AACAGGGAAGCTATAGTGGGCCAAATAAGGTTTATACTACTAAGTGAACAGGTTGTTCGTTTGTAATCGTGATAAATTATCATAAGCGTGAAAAGAAATTCGTTATAACTAAATTATGCTTAGAGCATAATCATGAGATTTATCCAGATACTAGAAAATTTAGTAGTAATATGCATAAGCTTGATCAGAATAAATTAGGCATGATTGAGGTGCTTCATGACAATGGACTTCGAACGAAGGATATTTATATCATTTTAGCATCTGTAAGCTCGAAGTATCTGCATAAATATGATATATATAATGCTGTGAGTTATCAACGCAGCAGAAATTACAAGGGCTACATGAAATTAAGATACTACTCAGAACTTTACAAAATAATGAAAATATTACTGCAAGTATAGCAACTAAAACTGCATATAATGATAAATGTGATCAAGATAGCTTATTTATTCAAGCAATCTTCTAGACACATCGAGATGCATTTTTTGAGTTTGCAGTATCAAAGGATGTATTGATTGTTGATGTGACGTACAAAACTAACAGGTTTTTTTATTATTATTATTATTATTATTATTACCGTATTTACACGAAATAATGCACATGGGCATTATTTTGAAAATCGCATTTTCTTAAAATAGCATAGTTAGTTTCAAAATAACGCCCATGGGTGTTCCGGAATAATATATACCCATATACTAATGTTAAAAATCACCTTTAGTGATTGGGGTGTATCTTTTATCTTGAAATAATACCCATGCGCATACTCAAAATAATGCACATCTTTTCGAAATAATGTGCAGATATGCATTATTTCGCGTGAATATGATATTTAATTTTAAGTTTATATTTAAGTCAAAACTGGTATTATATGACTATCCGAAATGCTGTTTATATAAACATATTTAAATTTTAATTCTATATTTAATATCAAAATTTGTCTAGTTAAACTAATATCCAGATATGAGTATCGCTAAAAGAAAACTCAAAAATTTAAATTGTTGAGTTTTCTTTTATCGACACTCATATACAGATAGTTTTTTTTTCTTATTATTCTTTAAAAAGTGTTATATAACACAGGTAATCTGAATAATTTAATTTAATTTAATAGTATAAGTGGTGATTTTTTATTAAATGTAATTTCTAACTCTCTAGCATCAAAAAATATATATTATTTAGCATTTGTCAATATTTTCAGTGAGAGTACTTGTTTTGTGCATAGCATTATTTCTATCTTGCTTATTATTTATTTATTATTATTTAAACAACAGATTTTCAATACCATTAATTGTCATTTGTAGCGTCAACCAATTTGAATTAACATACCCTTTAGCCTTCTCGCTTGTCTATTCTGAAACTAAAGATTTTTATTGCTGGGTATTGCAACAGTTGTATAAGGCACTAACTATTTTGACAGATGATTTGCACGTAGCAACAACAATAACTAACTGAGAGTTGGCTCTTATGAATACAATAACTATTATATTTCCTAATACAAAACATCAGTTATACACTTGACACATTTTCAAGAATATCAGAAACAAGCTTAAAGGTATTAGAATTGATGAATTTACTCAAGCTCTTCAAAAACCTGTATATGATGATCTTTTAGAAGATGAGACAGAAGAAGAAATTACGAAGCTATGGGTATAATTTCTAAATGCAAAAAAGTACATTTGTAAGATATGGATGCCATATAAAGAAAGTTAGTTTGCAACATATACAAAAAAATATTAATCTTGACATAAGGTCAAGCCAACATGTTGAAAGTCTACATAGCTAACTAAAACATGTTGAAAATTGTGTTATTCCGATTGATAGGTAGAGATAAGATTCGTTAATCAATTAATTAGATTGTTAATATTTTAAAAAAAATTACTAGCTAATTAGTCATAATAATCCTTCCGTGATCTTAATATAATGATCAGGGGATTAGTTGATTAATTGGTTAACTAGTCAGTATTTGATTTTTTTTTCAACTTTAATGTAACTTCCAAATTGTATTTATTATATTAACTAACACTTATTTATTCTTAAACTTTGTATATTAGTCAATTATATATTGTTGTACTAGTTAATTGCATGTTAGTTATTTACCAGTTAGGGTACAGGACAGGCCAGGTTGGGTCAGGTTTAGATAAACCCAACTTGGGTCTGTTTAAACCTGACCCGAGCCTGAGCCTGATAAAAAATTTTACAACAAGTTGGGCCTAGGTCGGGTCGGGTTAATCCAAAACCCAACCTGACCCGACCAGCCCGATCATTTTACATATATATAACTAGTACATGATCATATTTTGCTACCAACTAATAATTAGATACAACAGTATATACCAGGAAGTAGTGAAATGAAGTGTATAGTTTATAGCCAACTAACTGTATACAAAATCTTAGATCTTATTAAGTAGTACGATCTTGTCATATGAAATTATTTTGTAAAGATCTACAAGTTTTAACTTGTATTAATTTGATACGTATTACTCTAAATGGGCTTAAAGGTTGTTGATCTGAGAAATCAGAATATTTTAAATACAATTGAAAAAATTACATTTATATTACATACGTATGTACATACA